AGGGGAGCCCTTTCTCCCACTAAAACCTGACCACGGGGCTGTGCCCACCCATGCAGAGCAGGACACCTTCCCGTTTGCATACAAATGTCCCTAAGGTGGCTCGCTGGCTATGGGCTTGGAGAGATGATCACCAAACTAGCCCCATCTCCTCTAGCCCTGCCTGCCCTCTCCCCCCTCCACGTATGTCTCTGCGATCCCACTCATTCTGGGAGTCCTAGCTACATGGGTTCCTCCTCCAGGAAGCCTTCCATGATGTTCTTAGCAGATCAGTCTCTCCTCTACCATGCGTGCCCCTTGTTTTCATTTCTGGGTTCTTTTTCTTTCTTTCTCTCCTTCTCTCTCTCTCTGTCTCTTTGTATCTCTGCCCTTGTTTTTGCCTTTTTTCTATCTCTTGCTTTCTGTTTCAGTGTCTCTCCTTTTTTCTGTTCCTCCTGATGTCTCTGTGTGTCTCTTACAGCCAGTCTCCCAGTCCTTCTCTCCTGCTCTCATCTGTCCATCTTCTCTCTGTTTCCTTGTGTCCTGGTGCTTTTTTCTTCTCCCTGTCTCTCCCTGAGAGTGTCTCTCTTCTCTCTCGGCCTCTGTAGTCTCTTCTCCCCTGCTCTCTGTCTCTGTGGCTCTGTGTGCCCTCCCCCCCCCCCCACCGTCCTCCCTCTCTTCCCTCCTCTCGTCGTGCGTGTAGCCTCGGCAGATGAACTGGAACGTGCCTTCCTGCAGAGAGCTGGCCCAAAAGCAGCTGTCAGTGCTGGAAGTCGCCGCTGAGCAGTAAGCCAGGCAGGCTCGGCCCCAGCACCGAGGGGCCCCTTTGGAGCCTTTCCACTCCTCTCTGCAGGTTCCAGGATGGGTGTGGTGACTTTTTCAGGATTTGTGACCTTGGAGGCAAGCCCGGGCCCTGTCTGCCAACCCCTGGGGACAGCACTGGGCCCCAACTCGGGCTTAGTGCAAGGCCCGAGCTCCTGGGATTGGCGGGACCCCAGGAGCATCTCCAAGAGGCCGGGTGGGGGCCACGAGGGGAGGGCATCTGTGAGCTCAAGTCTTCTGGGGATAGAATGAGATCACGGCAAGGATAGGGAGTAACGGGTTTTGTCATTCATTCATTCAACAAGCGTTCACGAAGCCACCGCTGTGTGCCAGACTTGGGCTTAGCCCTGGGACCAAGGATGAATCAGGCATGGCTCCCGCCCTCGAAAAACTCACAGTCTCCCAAGCGGCTTGCTGGGAACGCGTTCTGACAGGGGCGGCTCTGGGCTACGGGAAGACCATTCCAGCTTCAATGAGGTCACAAGGAAGACCGTCTGCCGTGGTTCAGGCAGAAGCTGCCAGTGGCCTGGGCTGGTCAAGCACGGTTAGGAGGCAGAATCAGGGGGCTGCTGGGATTCATTGGATGAGGAGATGAAGAGTCAGGACAGGGCCCATCTGATTTGGATGACAGAGCTCAGGTGAGACGCTCCCCAGAAGGGGAGGGGGCATTGGATTCTGTAGTCTCTGGCAGATGTCAGATGGAAACGTGCAATAGGCTGCTGGACAAACAGGTCTGGGCTAGGGCAGTAGGTTCAGAGGGGTCCGCACTGTATGGTGGTCACAACCCTGTGGGTGGATGATATGTTCACAGATCATGCGTGAGAAGAAGGCGGAGGGGCCCCCACTTACTGGGCAGGAGAAAGAGGAACCCACCAAGAAGTTGGGTGCGGGGCAGTGGTCAGGCTCCAAAGAGAAGCAGGATAGTGCGGTGCCATCGTGGGGTCCTGTGACACCAAGCCCAGAGAGGGTGGCTTGTGTAGGGAACCACATCCAGGAGGAGGGCAGACTGGTCTCCTTGCCCTGCAGGGAAGGAAGTGAAGGTGGGCGTGGCTTAGAGAAGGAAAGATGGCATTTGAAAAACCCCATGACTGATTGCTTCCAACTTCTCCAAGTAGGAGAAGCCTTCTGGCCAAGGTCTTAAGCAGCGCAGTAAGGGCTGGTACCACTGAGGCTGAGGGAACGGAGGGGCACTGACTGGACGCTGAGACGCTGTCAGGTGGTGCCCGGGGTCCAGCCACAGCTGTGTAAGGCTCGGCCCTTCCGAACACGCCCTCCGCCAGCTCCAGGAGCGTTCCCTTCGCAGTGGCCAAATGCCCTCTGTAGATACTCCGTGCTGCTCCAGAAGAGCCTAACGCAGCCTGCTTCCCCTGGTGGCTCCTGACATCCTCTGGGGGGACCAGCGCTGCGCTTGGGGGCCCTGGCCTTTAAAGGGTCTCCGTGGAAGCAGGGGAGGAACCGCCTCTGCTGCCCAGCAGTGAGTTCCAAGCATCCACTGCCAGGGAGTTCCTGCCACCCGTGTGTCCAAGGCCACCACACCCAGGCCCCCTGCCAGCTCCATCACACTCTGGGGGCAGGTACCAGTAGGATGACTCCGTGGCCCCACTGGGGACTGTCTTAGCTCATCACTTGAGAGTGCACGCTGGGCTTTTCCGAAGGCCATTCACTCTTCCTGCCTCGTTAGGATCTTACAGCCCTACTGGAGGGATAATACCCGTTTGACACACTGGCAGACTGAAGCCGGGACAGAGAAGCCACTTGTTCAGGAGATTCACAGCCCTGACAGGAGCTTGGGTCTCTGTCCTCGATGGGACTGGGTCAAGGCCGGAGCCCCGGGAGGTCCTGTTTATGCCTGTGTTGTCTGTGTGACATCTATAGCCAGCTTCCCAAATGAGCCTCACGTATCGCCTGGCCTCACACGTGCTGTTCCCCTCGTCTGCAACACCCCCCAGCCTGTGCCCAATTCTCATCCTCACCTGGCTAATTCTTTTTTCTTAATGTTTATTGATTTTTGAGAGAGAGAGAGAAAGATGGGGGGCGGGGTGGGGGAGGGGCAGAGAGAGAGAGGGAGATAACAGAATCTGAAGCAGCCCAGAGCCTGACACTGAGCTTGAATTCAAGGACTGTGAGATCATGACCTGAGCCAAAGTCAGACGCTCAACTGACTGAGCCACCCAGGCGCCCCTCACCTGGCTAATTCTTATCCCACCCTTCAGCTAGCAGTGCCTTCTCCAGGAAGTCTTCCCTGATTTGAGGTTGTGCTTCCCTCTGCCTAGTACTTAGCCCAGATCCGAAGACTTTGATTCTTGAGATTGAGTGGCTGGAACAGGCCCCTGTGTGTTCACCGCTGGCTAGCACTAGATCTGCACTCCCTCAGTGTTTGTCAGATTAATGCACTGAATAGGTAAAGGGAGGGAGAGAGGGAGGAAGGGAGGGGTCTCTGAAGTCAAACAAAAGCCTTCTCCATAGAGCCTGAGAGCCATGGGTGCCGGCGCGTCCCTCCCGTGTACACAGAGACACCAGGAGCATCCGAGCATAATGGATTTGCCCGAGGTCTCAGAGTGAGCGTGATGGGTCCTGGACCAGAACCCGGGTCTCTCACGCCCAGACCAGTGTCTTTTGCAGTGGTCCCAAGGTGGATTTCAGGGACAGAGGCAGGCCAGTGAGGGACGCGAAGCCAGCCCAGAGGTGTGCAGCCTCGCCTTCTGTCCACCCTCTGCGATCCCAGCCTCTCGCCTCCTCCATGCAGGAGCCTCTGGGTTCCCGCACGGCCTGTCCACTGTCTGTTCTCCTCAGACCTCCCCGGGGCTGTCAGCATGCTGACCATCTGGCTTCCCACCTGTCACCACCTGCCATAGGCGATTAGAGTAATGGTATGGGGGTTCCCCCAGGTTCTGGGATGACTGGGGAGCGTGCTGCCCACGTGAGTGGGGCCGCAGGGCAGGCACACGGCTAGGAAGCTGCAAGGGGCCACTGCCACTCTGCCCGCATTGAACAGGCGGGGACACTGAGGCCCGGGGAGGAGGAGAGGCTTGCCAGCGTGCCGACTCCCAGCCGTTACTGCCTCCATGGTCAGTTAGTCTCCTGGGGACTCTTCCTCAGCAGAGCCTAGGAGAGCCTTCACGTGTCCCTACACCTGCCGCCCACGTCCTGCCACAGGAGAGCCATCTCTGGGCCCATCTGGGGCTGTGGGGCTGTGAGTGACCAGCACAGGGCTGGGCCCAGAGCAAGTGCCCCATAGACTTCAGTTGAATGAATGATTCATGGGTTGGGGTAAGATGAAGACCCCCGTCGCCCTACGCACACACTCAGCAGGGCCACCTCCATGGTGTCCGCTCTGTGTTTGGACCCCTTCTGGGCCCCTGCCACTGTCTGCCGGACCCGGCAACCATCGTTACCATTCGCAGCTCTCTCCTTCCCCAGAATCTTACACCTCGTGAGTCTCCCGGGACGTCCCAGGGCCTGGGTTGGAATGTGTGCTCTGTAAATGTTGAATCAGAGGTGAACAAATAAATCCCAAAGGCCCGGCTCCAGCCGACACCAATGGGGCAGTGGCCTCCGCCCTGTGGAGCCTGGTGAGGAGACAGGCACGGATACATAGAACCGGCCCCTGTGCTCAGGGAGGGAGCCCCAGGGTGCTGGTGGAACTCACAAAGATGGGCCACAGACCCGTTGAAGGCTTGAGGGCTTCCTGGAGGAGGTTTTCTCAGAGCTGGGCCTTACATGACCACCATAGGCTGCTTGCTGCTGTTGCTGTGGTTTGTTTATCTTACACAGGCTTAATTCACTTTGTTTTTCTGGTTTAAAACGATGCGGCGGCGGCCGCAGCCAGAGCATGAGCCCTCTGCGCAGACTGTGCTGTGGGTTGTTATAGCCCAGGGCTGGGGTCAGCCTGACGGTGCAATGCAGCATGCAACCCCTGTGAACCTTGCTACCATGCCGGCCACTCTCCCAGGGTCCTCGCAGTCACCCTGGAGGCTGCTGTCCCTGTCATTCCCACTCCACAGCTGGCAATGGGGCCAAAAGCTAGGGCCCAGGGAGGTACCACCGGGAGGCAGCAGAGCCAGGATTTGGACCCAGGCAGGGTGGCCCAGCACAACTTGCAGCTACGCCGTGCTGCCTGCGGTGTCAGCCGCTGACCGAGCCCATCTCCAGTTGCTGCTCACTCGGCAGGGGCTGAGCCCAGTCTGTCTCTTGTGCTCCAGGTCACTTTCTGGGAAACAACACGGTCATTGACGTCCTCCGGCAGGCGGGGCTGGAAGTGGAGCACACACCCGCAGGGCAGGCCATCCACAGGTGAGCAGCTGAGGCGTCAGGACGGGCGCCCGGTGGCCTGCCGCCATCCACGAGCCGCGCCTGGCCCCGGGCCGCCTGGCCTTTCTGCTTGGGCAAGAAGCCTCATAGGGACCGGCCTTGGCCAGGCAGCCAAGAGTGGAGGGGCTGGGCTGGAGGCGGGGGGGACCAAGAAGGAAGCTGACGTGCGACCCTGGCAACCTGAGGGGGGGCGTGAGGCAGTGGGAGTGGGAGGAGGGTGAGGCTCTGAGCCACTCGGGATTTATGGCCGGGTGAGTGGGTGGGGTGGAAGGGCTCCGCGGGACTCCTAGAGAAGTGTGGGACGCCCAGCCCCGCCCACACCTGGTCTTCACCTTTTTCTGACCTCACCTCTTGTGGGGGGCCCCCCACCCCTGACTTTCCCGCCAGGGCGCAGCCACTCCACTCAGATAGCCATTAGTGGCCTTCCCGTTCCTCGGAAGGGTTCCTGTCCCCACCCCAGGCTGGGACTAGAGGCACAGGGGCCAGCTGGGTCCTCAGTGCCATGGCAGGCGTGACAGGGCGTCAGCATATTCTAGGCAGCTCCAGGCAGGGGGCAAGGACAGGACCCTCAAACGTGGGGGTTCTATGTAGCCTGCACTCCAGCTGTTATGCAGGAACCTTCTTCAGTGACCCCCAGGGGCGACCACAGAGCAGTTTCGGCCCCTGTCTCTGGCGTTACGAGAGCTAGAGTCCGAAAGAAGCTTGAATAACCATAGTGACTCTTTATACACCAGGCTGTAAGCACTTTTAGCTCATGAAATCCTCACGACAGCTCTATGAGGTAGAACCAGGAGTATCCCTATCTTAAAATTGAGGAACTTGAGGCCCAGAGAGGTGACATCACTTGCAGAAGGACACATGGCTCATGTCAATGGCATTCTGGTCCTGGAGCCTCCCTCAGCTCCTAACTACTCCCTGTCCCCTCGCTGGGGGCCGGAGGTAGGCCTGGGGGTGGGTGTGCTCAGGAACGACCAAGGCTTGGCTCCTTACTCTGCACACACGAGGCTCTGAGCCTCTGGCCTCCTAGCTCTGGACCAGCCCTCTGCTCTCCCCTGTCTCTGTGGCACTTCTCGAGGAACCTAAAACCCCCCTTACGCCGGACTCCGGCCTCTTTTGACAACCTGAGTCAACCCGAGGAAACTGATGAACATTTGAGCGCAGCACAAATCAGTCTGCCATGGGCCATGGCAGGGGTGTGTTGGAGGAGGGAGGCATCCAAGGCAGCCTTGGGGGCAGGCATTCCTCATGCTCCCCTTCACCACCCCAAGGACTTCACCTTGAAGCTCATTGTGTTTTCCAGGCCAGGCAGGGCGGGCAAAGAGGCCGGCGCTGCCGCCTCGCCTCCTATTCATCTCAGAGCCCGGGCATCAGAGAAAGGTCCCCCGCCTCTCCTGCCTCCCCGCCCGGCCCTGCTCCGAGGACCCTCAGCCCCTGTGTTGAGCACACACTGAAATCCTGCGGGCGGGGCCAGGGGCTGGGATGCTGGGGAGGCCCCAACAATAAAAGCCATCATCGGCCACAGGTGCTTCCTGGACCCATCTTTTTGTCTGCCTGTTTTGAATTATCTCCCTGGCAGCTGCAGCATCTACTGGGCCCTGGGAATCTGGGCGTGCTGTGGGGGCTGGGGACAGATAGGCTGAGCTGATGGCCTTACCCCCTTCATGGAGAGAGAAGCCCCTCACCCCATGGTGCATGCCACCCGCTGCCTTGGGTGCCCCCTCACCTCTATATTCCCAACACTGCATCCAGCCCTCCCCCAGGGTCTGACGTCCTCCCAAGGGAGTCAATTTGGGCCCCAGAGAGGAAGGAATAAAGGTAGAGGAGCAGAGGATGCTCCCAGGCTGAGACCTGTATTATAGCACTCCTGGAAAGCGCGCACACACACACACACACACACACACACACACCCCTAATCAATGCTTTGGTGCCTACTACAGCCCAGTCCATGTGCTTATAGGCCAATATCAAAGACAGGCTTGTTGTGTGCCAGGCACTGTGTTAGGACCTCGTCTCATTTGTCCTCATGACAACCTTACGAAGTAAGTGGTGTGACTGCTCCCATCTCACAGCTGCCTGCTGCTTGAGATGACCATGTCACCCACCCCTGGACATACGGCCTGTGAGCCGCAGAGCCAGTGTGTGAACCCACATCTGTCCACGTCTAGCCGGAGCTCTAACCTGCTTCACACTGTCCTGCCCCCTAAAAGGTGCTCAGGAAATAGCTGTTCCATGCACAGGTGGGTGGTTGGATGAATGATACAAGTAACCATGTGAGTATTTAAGAATTTTTGGTTAATGACATTAATTACTAAGACAGTTCGGCGGCTTACTGTTCGTTAGGCACTGTTCAGAGGGCTTTGGCTATGGTTACTTATGAGACCCTCGTGGTGCCCTCGGAAGCACAAGCTGTGGCACCCCCATCCCGCAGAGATGGAGACGGGGCACAGGGAAGTTAGGCCACCTGCCCCTCAGCGAGAGCATGTGGAATGACAGACCCTGAGGGAGATGAGATAGGCCCCCAGGCGCTCACTCCCTCACCTCCTGCTAGACGGGTCCCAGGTGTCACCCCGCAGTGACCAGGCCCCCTCCCCTGCCTAGCAGCCTCCACCCTCATGCTCCCTCTCCTGCCCCTCCTGCCCTCCCCAGCGGCTCCCGCTGCCTGACATCCATACCCTCCAGCTTTCGCTTCGGAGTGTGAGCTCAAAAAGAACGGGGACCTGGTTTGGTGAGTGCTTCCACCCAATTCCTAGAAAGGTGCCTGGTGCAGGGCACGTGCCCGGAAACATTGGTTGAGCCGATCAAAGAAAGAATGTGTCAAACTCATCTCTGGACACCAGATAGTGGTCTCCCTGGGCTCCTGTCATCGGGCACCCAGCAGGGGGACCCAGCCTTTCCCCTGTGGTGACAACCTTCTCACTGGGCTGCACTCCCTGTCACATGTGCCTGACAGTCCCACATGTGCACCTCACGTGCTGTTGCCCCATTCCAGCGCTGCCGCCCGGAGCTCCACACCTCCACCTGAGGGGACCTCGGCGAGCCCGGCCCCAGTGACCCCAGCAGCTGCCCTCCCTGCAGTACCCTCGGCGACCCCCACAGTCCCGCCTGAGGAGGAGGACCCGGCCCTGTCCCCACACCTCCTGCTCCCCGACAGCCTCAGCCAGCTGGAGGAGTTTGGGCGGCAGAAGAAGTGGCACAAGAGACAGAACAAACACCAGCGGCCGCGACAGTTCAATGACCTCTGGGTCCGCATCGAGGACAGGTGAGCAGGGGGAGGGGCAGGCCTGCCGGGAGCTGGGCACCTCTCGGGGTCAGCCCAGACACCCTCTCGTCCTAGGCCCTGCTCTGAGGAAGGGGCTAGGTGGGTGCCTGAGTGGAAGCTTCTGGGATAGCTTGACCCGCCCCCAGATTCACAAAGCCTCTTCCTGTTCATCCATCAGAGTTTACAGAGCATGCTCACATCTGAGTTTTCATTTTTATCCTCAAAATGAGAACAAGTTCATTTGTCTCCATTGTAAAGGCAAGGAAGTAGAAACTTCCTTCAGGGGCTGCGGACAGAAGTCTGCTTTCCCTTAGCTCTGTTTGTCCCGTGGGCCAGAAGGTAAAACAGGGAGAAAGTAGAGCGGGCTAGCTACATCGAAAGGCCATAAGCTCCCTGTGCCTGGAAGGTCTTAGTGGCAGACGCCCTGGCAGGGAGGCTGCATGGAGCCCCACTCTGCCAGAGAGAGATGGCAGGTGACAACGGACGCACTTACAGCGGTGGGCTCTCTCTTGGGAGGGGAAGGGGAGTCTGTGATAAATGATGTAGGTGCAGAAGTCATCCTGCAGCTGATCCCCGCCTGTCCCCTGCCGTGTTCTCCTGCCACCCCTGTGCCACCTTCCCAGCCTGTTGGCTCCCATAGCTCCTGATGGAACCATGAGACCGTCTCCCAATTCCCACCTGCAGACTCATGACAGAACAGTCTCCCTAGATTCTGTTTTGGCGTAGGAATCTCCGTACAGAGTGAACAATGTTGCCAGAACACCCTAGGTGTCCCAGGGAGCAGCCATGAGAGAGGGTCAGAGCTCTGCCCACTGCAGTAGCCCAGCCCTGGACATCGTGCCCTGGCAGTGGGCCCTTGCAGACTCGGAGTCTCACCCAAACCCCTAGAACCATCGTCCAGGACGTCCCCAGAGTGTGTTGTAAACAGACAGGTGTCCAGGCCCCACCGCAGACCTCATAAATCCGCCCCTGCGGTGCCCGGAGCTGGCGAGCTCCCTGGTGAGTCTGCACGTGTGTTGAATATGCACTGGAGAGTCTTTGCAACAGCTTTGGGAAACGTAGACCCAATTCTGCATTTGCCGATGGTTAGCCAAGGCCAGCTGGGGGGGCAGGGGGCTTGTCCAAGGTCACATAAGCCATCGGGGGCTGCCTCCTGCACTGTCTACTTCATGGTCCTCCTGCAGCTGGGTCTCTGAGCCATCAACAAAAGGCTGACATATCCAGTCCACTGTCGTAAAGTTTGGGACGTGCACTGTTCTAAAAAGACTTCCAGCAAGTAAGAGTGGAGGCCACCGTCCCTTTGGGCCATTGGTTTCAAAGCATCTGACTTGGGTTACCGGGAAATGTACTTCTGCAGAGCCCTGACCAGCCTGTCCCTCCCAAGGCAGAGGCACTGCTGTGGCTATATTAGCTGTGACATATTTGGCTCCCATGCCCAGCGTGGGCTGCCCCCTCCAAACCAGTTGCAGAGACTTGGGGTTACGTCAGAGAGTCACTTCTTCCGTGCCAGGGAGCACTCACAGGCCGCCAGGGAGGAGCAGGGCTGGAGCGGGAGCTCCAATCAGAGGGTCACTCTGGGCCCCCGTCAACCTGCTGGGTGACCAACATGCCCAGGCAGTGGCGGGCCCAGCCCAGGAGAGGGACGGGAAGCCGGCTGTCAGCTCGAGCAACAGACCCCTGCCCTAACCACTTCTGAAAGGTAAATTTCAGTAAACGGCTCCAAACAGTTTCTTTTTCGCAACACGTAGCTCTGAGACACAGAGCCGGGTTTCAGGAGAAGAAAATAGCCCGTGTTTGGCAAGAGGGAGAACTTTCTCCCACTTAACAGGTAAATTGTGGTTGGGTAACTCTCTTCCATCCGGCCGGGTTGGAGAAGGAAGTTTCCGCGGGAGGGCACCCTGCTTGAGGTCCCTGATGCTCCTCAGGGGAGCAGGCCCTGAGCTCTGTCACCCCCCAGGGACTCACCCCGTCCTCCTAGGCTTTCCAAGTTTCCGGCTCCATGAGAGGGAACAGAGGACAGCTCTCCGAGGGGGTACCGAAAGCCCATCTGTGGCCATTCTAAAAAGACCATTTTCCTTGGAGCTGGGTTCCATTCTGAGTTCTCTCATTTTTTTGCCCCAAAATCCAGCTGGAGCCATCCATCGCCTCCCCCAGCCCAGCCTCCACCCGTGCCTGGCAGCAGGGCCCCTGCCCAAGGCACTGCCCCCAGCAGCCTGGGGTTCTTCAGTGCTGCCTGCCACCACCAGGTGGGCCTCCTGCCGCTCAGCCCAGACACAGAGCCACGGCCTCTCCTCCGGCCTGAGGCCACCCCTCCTGCGGGCCTTGTCCTCGCTGGGCCTGGGCCGTGTGCTGGCTGCCCCTCAGCCGGCCGTACCTAGCCCACCTCCCATCTGTGCCATTGCTTTTCTCTCTGGTGGTGGGCGCGAGTGGACACTGGCCGAGCTCCCACGCTGTGCCAGGCACCACAGCAGGCTCTTACGACCGTCGTGCCCCACCCCCCCCAGTCCTATCAGTAGTCCTGGAAGTAGGCTTTGTTTGACAACCAATGAAACTGAGGCCCAGCGAGGTCAGGTAACTTGCCCAAGACCACACAGCAAGTGAGCTGTGGAGTCAGAACCCACAACCCAGGCCTGTCTAATGCTAAGGGTCACGTTTGCCCGTGGCCATGCAAATGCCCCACCCTTGCCTGGCAAGCATCTCCTCCATCCTCACTGGCTGAAGTGTCCCTTCCCTGTTCCCCCACACCCTGCAGTCCCCGTGGGTGCCCAGTCTTAGCACAGTGCACAGGCTGCATGCCCTCACTTGTGTTCCAAGGCCCGGAGGCCGGGGGACACCAGATCTGGGCTGGACCTCTGTGGCCACCGCGGGCCTCGCCGAGAGTTTCTTGACCACACACATGAGTGAGGCAAGGAGGGAGGGAACTGGGGGTAGAGGCTGCAAGCACCCGGCCGGACCACCACCCGGAACGAGCTCCCCTCCCCTCACCCCTCATCATCCATGACAGAACACACTGGAGGAAGGTTAGAGAAGCAGCAGCCCCTGGCAGAGTGATTAATGAAGACCCTGTGGAAGGGGACAAGCTTGTGTCTGCAGGTGGCTGTACGCCAGGGGCACAGCGTGCTCAGGACCCCCACATCCAAGGGCCAGGAGGGGGGCAGCAGGTCAGGGCTCATTCCCATGCAGGCTGTGTGCAGGGCACGGACTGAGATATGGGACTGGTGACAATCTTCAGTCTCTCTCTCTCTTTTAAATATTTAGTTATTTACTTATTTTGAGGGTGGGGGGATGGGGAGAGGCAGAGAGAGAGAATCCCAAGCAGGCTCTGCACTGTCAGCATAGAACCCTACATGGGGCTCGATCCCATAAACTGTGAGATCAAGACCTGAGAGCCGGATGCTTAACGAATGGAGCCACCCCAGCGCCCCCTCAGTCTCCCTTTATGTTCAGTGAGGGCCGTGAAGGTCATGGCAGCCCTGCTGCTCTCCCATGGCATGTGACGGGGTTGGAATTGGATAACAAGGGGCAGAGTGCTGGACAGAAGGACAGTCATGAGGAGGCAGGCCCAGAGGAGTGCTGGGCATGGCCAGAAGCAAGGCACAGGTGGGCATCCGCATTGATGGACCCAGAGGCCAGGCGGGTGCACCGTGCACGCACACAGAGGGTGTCATTGTCCTCTGGGCCTCACTTTCCCCGAGGCTTGAGCAGATGGCCAGGGCCCCCTGGAAGAGGAGGAGATAGCGTTCCACCCCTAGGCCCCCGGGAGGGCTCTGCACACCCCTCTCTGGCCTGCCCAGGAGGGAATCCTGCCCAAGGTCCCCTGGCTCCAGTTTGTCTCAGTGAAGCCAGGCTTTTCCTGGAGGGCCCCGGGGTGGTCAGCGCCGCTGCCTGAGGCCAGAAGGCCATGGATTCGAGGTAGAAGGCCCGCCATGAGAAGTGTGAAGCAAGACTGTCCCGTGTGTGAAAGCACAGATTCAGGCAGAACAGACCTTTTACCCCAGCCCTTCCTCCTGCTTGCTGTGAGGATTAGAGACTAAACGAGATGATGCTTCTAGAATGGTAAGCTGGCTGGCCCCAGACCACTGGTGACACTTGGTGACAGTCGTCCCCAGAGTGGCTGGCGGGACTCTCAGCCTGGTCTAAGATGCCGCTCTCCCTCCCTCCACTCTCCCCGACAAGAGCTGCTCTTGGGCCCTTAGCATGCCTTAGGGTTCAAGCCTAAGTGGGTGCTGGTCCCCCTGCTTGACAGGAGCATGCTGGCCACGCACTGGTTACCCAGCAGTGGGGACAGATCAGGAAAGTCTCAGGTCGTGGCCAGGCGGGGACGGCTCCCTAACACGCTGTGGCTGAAGGAGCCCAGAGCCCCAGTGAGTTTTTCTGTGCCTGCAAAGGCGTCGGTCAGCCAGGGCTGTGGGGGGGACGAGGACACGCCCAGAGGAGAGGGCCAGGGGCCCAAAGGCATGGAGGCCAGCAGGGGCCTCGGACTCTGGGACATCGGCAGCAGGCAAACCTGTCACCTCAGGTCTCTGCCCTGCTTGGCCCCGGGAGGTTGAGGCCAGACTGGACTTGTCGTGGGTCCCCTCCAGGTGCACCACGTCGAGAGCTGCACCCTCAGGTAGCAGGCCTGTCTCTCAGGTGCATCCTGCTCACCAAGGCCCATCTCCACTCTGTCTCCCTGGACGCCCCTGAGGTCACCCAGGGCACAGCCAGCAGCCCCTTGCATTGGAAAGAGAACCCCAGAATCCAGCCCAGATGGCTCTTCAAGACTGTCTAGGTACACAGATTGGCCTCCTACTCCAAGAAGCCCGCTGGAGGGGCCTCAGTGGGCAGACAGCTAATACCGTCTTAGGCACCAGCCCTCCTTTTCTGTGCTTTATACCCTGACCCTTGCCTAAGACCTCACTTCTGGCTTCTGCTACTAGAAAACATTTTAAAGTTTGTGGGTCTGTCCCTACTCTTTCATTGTACACATGGGGAAACTGAGGCCCAGAGGACAGGACTTGCCCCACACCACATGGCAGCCAGGGACAAAGGCCAAGCTAGAACAGGGCTTCAGCCTTCCACCCAAGCAGCAGGGCCCTTTCCCACACAAGGGGTCCTGTCGGCTCAGAGCAGACTCAGCCCCTCGGTGCCAGCTGTCTGCAGGGCTGGGAACACTCTCGGGGTGTTTGGTTTGGCTTTGAGGCCACTTTGCCATGAGACAGCTTTCCCCTGCATGGGCCTGGGGTGTGGGGGGAGGTCTGGACTGGGGGACTGAGCTCTGTGAGCAGAGTGGGCTCTACACACACACACACACACACACACACCCAGCTCCATTTCCCTGGGACTCCTTCCAAGCAATAAGCCCCTGCTCAGGCTTCCAGGCGGAGTGTGCGTCTTCAGTTTTCAAAGTGTGAAAGCAAATGCCTTTGGGCACCTTTCGAGGCAGTTTTCATAACTCCCACTTGGCCTTCCCGCAGATGGCGGGGCCGCCTACAGCCAGCCTGGGCCCCCACTCCAGGCGCCCCAAATGGCACCTAGCCTCTCTCCTGAGGCCAGGCCTCCTAGCCTCCTGGCTACTCAAGCAGAAAGGACAGGGCAGCCACCAGGAAGGGACCGTCACGGACGCTTTGCGTAGTGCGTGGCGTTTTTCTGTGTACTAGAAGAGAAAGGGGGGGAAGGGACTGAGGTAATGGTGCGAGGCCACAGGAGGCTGCACCTCCCACCCTGGAAGCCTCCTGGCACAGGTTTTCCAGGTCTCAACAGGAGAGGAGGCAGCACACCGAGCCCCTGCGCCCTCCAGGCACCTCTGTATCCTAATTCCCTTCGGACTGTGTCTTCGTCTTAGAAATGGGGATAATGAGATGACACAGGTACAGCATCACAGCATCAGCTGGCTCAGGGGAAGCGCTTCCTAGACGGACGACGCGGTCAGCGGGAGAGACATGGGCACAAACACACTAATAGCGATGCTACAGGCGGCCAACGCCACGGAGCACATCCACGGCGCGCCAGGCGCTGCTGGAAGCACTTTACAAACGGAAGCCCGTACAAGCCGCCTGTGCATACGCGGCTGCCTGCAGACAAACGTAGCCTCGTGTGAGGATGTGGCGCGTTCTTGCGGCTAGAGCATGGCCAGCAGTAGAGGAGGACGACATTGAGGACACCGAGGGCATTTGGACGCCCGCTCCCCGAGCAGAGACCCCGGCCCTGAGGCTGAGCCGGGCTGTGTAGGAGGCATCTGGCCGGGGTGGCAGTGGGACTGGGCCTTGGTGGGGATGATTACAGAGCTCACGGTGACGCGGGGACCCTGTGCTGCGCATGGCAGTGCAGGCCCAGGGAAGGCAGGGGACTCCTTGAGGACCCAGCGAGGAGTAGCCTCCCGGGGAGGGCAGTAAGCACTGAAAAGCAGGGCAGTGTCGCACAGGGGAGAGGTTGCCCACACCACAGACACCCGGGGAGGGCCAAGTGAGCACCTACTGTGTGCCCAGTCCAGATCCCAGCCTTGCTGTGAACCCTGGAGCACAGTCTTAGCCTCTCCGTGCCTCGGTTTCTTCATAGTAACACAGGGCTTAGAGTCGGACCGTGGTGTTGCCATGAGGATTAGAGGTTGACGCGTGCTCAGTGTTGGCACAGAGCTGCCGTGAGCCAGGGTAAGTACTTCACTGGCCGCCAGGAGCACCCCCGCCACGTGCAAGCTCGACTCCGACTTCACAGCTGACTGCTATGTCCCCTCTTCCAGGAGGCCTTCCTGGCCCTGCCCTGGCTGGGCCTCTCTGCCGTGATGGGACTTGTCGGATCCCTGTCTGCCCCTCTCTCTGCCTCCCCTGCCCAGGGCTCCCCTACAGCAACTGTGGGCCCAACACCCCGGGGCCCCAGCTCTTTCTTCATCCTGGAGGCTTCGCCTGCTCTGGCCTCTCTTTGTTATGCCTCTGTCCTTGTCTTCCCTTGTCCCCTCTCTTCCTCAGTCCCTGTCCCTCTCTTTGTTCATCACTTCCTGTGTCTCTCTTTCCAGGACTTGAGCCGATCGCCTGGCCCTGCCCTGCCCTCCACTTCCCCGCGACGCCAGGCGCTGGCCTTGGCCAGCCGTTCCTTCTGTACTCAGCCTCTTCTCTGTCTCTCCCTCGCTCTCTCTGTCGTAGGTTCTCCTACGACAACAATCTCACCCATTGCCCCTAAAGCTGGATTCTGTTCTTAGAAGTCCGTGAAGGATCACACCTCTCACTAAGGCTCCCTGTGTTTGTGTAAAAGGCGGCTGAGCCGGGGCTCCTGTGCGGGGTGCTGCCCCTACCCCCGGGGACCTGGCGCCACCTGTCCCTGAGCCCCAGCTTTCTCATCCGATGAAGGGGGTGATGAGCCTCGGCCAGAGAGACTCCATGACTGGTGGCCGTGATCGCCAGGGCCGGGAGGTGGGGTGGTTGGTGGTGGGTTTTGTTTCCTGTTTATCTCCGGCAGGAGGGGAGGGTGCGGGACAGCGCCTGAGGACCTAGGTGTGGGAGTCGATCGCCCCGGTGGGACCCCAGCCCCAGCTCCTTCAGGGCATCTTAGTTCCTTCTGCCCCAGAACCCATCTCAAGCCAGTACACATGAGCACCCCGCGGCTGGCGCGGTGGCTCTGGGCCAGTCACTTTCACTGCCCAGCCCCTTGTCTCCTCTATTTTATGAGAAGAAGATAGAGGGGCTCCTGGGTGTCTCTGTGGTGGGTGTCTCTGTGGGTTAAGCGTTCAGCTTAGGTCACGATCTCATTGTTTGCGAGATCGAGCCCCGCATCGGGCTCTGTTTGGACAGCACAGAGCCTGCTCGGGATTCTCTCCTCTCCCTCTCTCTCTTTCTCTCTCAAAATAAATAAAAAACACTAAACAAACAAACAAATGAATAAATAACATGAGAAGAAAACAGATCACTAAGTGGCCTCTGAACCAAGGCCAGACCCCAGGACGAGGCTACCGAGGGGCCACACCCCATGGTTCTTCCGCTTTGTGTCTCCCTCCAGCACGGCCGCCTCGCCGCCCCCGCTGCCGCCGCAGCCCACGCACAGCTCTGGGACCGCAGGGCCGCCCTCCCAGCTCTCAGAGCGGCTTCAGCAGCGGGAGGAGCCGGGCCCCACCGGCAGCACAGCGCCCCACCGCCCACAGCCTGCCCCGGGCCTCCTCCCCGCCATCCTGGCCAGCCTCGCAGCCTCCCTCCTCCCGCACACCCTTGGGCCCTCCTGACCTTGGCTGCCAGTGCAGAGAAGCCAGAGAAACCACAGGAGGGTCTGCGGCCACACTCCCGCTGCCGCTGCCTGCCACCTCACGGGCAGCCCAGGCGGGTCCGTTAGAACGTTAGAGCTTTATTGTGCCCGAGTTACATCTTCTTTTTTGTAGAAGGATCTTAATTTCCCATAGTGCTATGGGGCTCTTTTGTAAAATATGTGTCCATATTAAAAAAGAAAAATGTATTTATTCTACCGATAAAACTATTTTTATGTGGCCTATGTTAACCCTTTAATTAGCCCCAATGCCACCCCAGGAAGTGAAGCCAGGACACCCAGGGCAGCCTCATGCAGACCGTGGCTTTGAACCGGCTTTGCGCCTAGATCGGCAGAAGCCTCCGCTGCCTGGGTTTGGCTTCTCCCGCCACGGGGGCGTCCGGGAGAGGGGCAGGCAGACAGGCTTAGCTTTTGTGAAGCTGGGCTGGGGAGCCAGAGATGTGAACGCTGACAACCCTTCCCCCCCAGATGCATCCTAGGGTGGGAAGATACTTTAGGAAAGAATGCTGCTATTTTGAAAACCCTGAGTGTCTGTGAACTGACCCTCCAGAGCTCTTGGTAAGTGTTTTGACCAAAGCACAGGAGGAGGGAGGGATGCTGGCGCTGAGGGAGCTCACCCCCCAGCCCTGTGTGACAAGTGGTTCCATTGAGATCCAAAGAGAGGAAGGTGGTTGCCCAAGGCCATGCAGCAAGTGGGAGGTCCAGAATATGAATCCAGACCTCTCTGTTCTGGTAACCTTCATCTTCTGTAAGCTTGGCTTACAGAGGAAACTGTTGAAGTCACAGCCAAACAGAGTGAGCTGGACCGAAGGACAGGAGTGGGCCCAGGAGGGACATGGTAATAATAATCCCAATGAAGGCCACCTTTTGTCCCAACACTGCATCGTGGAAGGCACTTTGCACACTCACTTTATCACTGATCCTCATGCCAGTTCTGTGAGATGTGATGGTCCCCATTTCACAGATGAGGAAACTGAGCCCCTCAAATAGATAAACAGATTTGCTCAAGGTCACCTAGCTGGGACGTGGCCCCAGGTCAGTGTGATTCAGAAGCGATGCTTATCCCTGGACCGTCTATGGCCATGTTCTGTCTGCACAGAGAAGCTCCAAGGAAGGCAGATCTCACCCAAATGTGCCAGCACAAGCTTCTTGCTTCAGCCAGAGACCACTTGGCCACAGTCCCTCATGTTGGCCCCTCTGAACAAAGGATTCTGGCAGCAGCCTGTGCCACGTGTCTCATGCCCCGACCTGCCTTATCTCAGAGCCTATGAGAGGCTTTCCTATCAAATGAGAGGCTGTGGGGTGGGGAGGCAGAGCAGGCAAATGGAGTGGGCAGGCAGCTGAGACTTCGAGAGACTGACCTCCCTCCACTGCCTCCACGGTGGTAGCTGAGAAAGCAGAGGACCGAGGTTAGCTGCCTTCCAGCCCTAAATCCTCACTGGACTGACAGCTCATCAGTTACAGATGTGCAGAACCCGAGAGAAGAAAGGCCCCTCATCTGACAGATAATACCAGTAAGAGTAATAAGGAGTCCCAAGGCTGCACCGCTGGGCAGATCTGCTGACTCCCAGCCCAGTGCTCCACAGCACCACCTCCCCTGCCAGTGGGGTTCCCTGGCAGGCCTGGCACTGGCTGATTAGACCCAGTGCCACTGTGCCCAGCCCGGCAGCAGTCTCCCTTCTGAGACAGAATTCTGGGCAGCTTATTGGATGGTCAGAAGTGCCATGGGCATCTAGGCCAGCAGCTAAATTCTTTTCGTCTCAACCCTGGATGGACGTGTTTGAGCTTGAGAACTGGCAGGAGCCCCGAGATCTGCTTCAGAGGGGTCCAACCGGCCCCATGGGCACCACGCTGTAAACTGAACTTGACCCCAACCAAGGATGGAGTCCGTTTATCTTTGGCAGAAATGTGACTTCCTATTTCCGAGTGGGAAGGGGCTGAGCTGACTTCTAAAGCAGGCACAGAAAGCCTGTTGGACATCAAACAGATGGTGCAGAGCGCTCTTTGGATGAGATAAGTGTAAAGGAATTAGAAATACATAGGCCAAATTTCCCTCCGTTCAGGGCAGAGTGTGGCATGAGCCGCGCTGAGATGTAGCTTGAGGTTAATTAAGGATGAAGCATTTGGGTAAACAGCCCAGGCACCTGACTGCATGCCCAGATCTGCACCAGGCATGGGGCCCAAGAGGTAAATTAACACAGCATGTGACTGTCGAGTGCACACAGTGCCAGGCTCCGTGCTGGGGCCTGATCTGTGCACCTTGCCTATCCCAGAGGGACTCCTCATCATGGACAAGGAGGCAGTTCTTAGAAACAATTTTAGAGGTTCTCCTGCCTAGGCCCCTGACCGCAGACAGACTCAGCCCTCGCCTTCACCAGATCCCTTCTCTGGATGGACTGGGAGATTCCAAACTTTCCCCCAAGCAAGCACTCAAGTGTTTAGAGAAAGACGGATGGCTGCAGATGGGTGGGCGGGCTGATTAAGTAGGCATGTGCCAACGGGACAGGCCAGAGCCCATGTCGACCCGACATCTACAACCCAACTTCACTAATCCCCGAGGCCCACCCACCGGCCGGGGTTTGGAATGAACTGAGCTTGCTGACTTATGTCCAGAAGACCTGAGGCGTCTGTGGAAATCCGCTGAGCTGGGGCGCTGGAATTCTCTCATCCCAAGCCAGGGAACCACCACTCCGTCAGTAGTCACTTACACACTTTGGGCGATCTATCCACCGCTGCTGACATTTTTTCCAGCATGTTCTGTGTGCCTAGCCTCATAAAGTGCCCCTGTTGCTCTGAGAGCATCTGCGTACATTTCTTAGGGCTCTGTGTTTGACCTTCAGGTGGCAGAGAAGATGGAAAGACTGAGACCCAGCAGGTTAAAGTGACCTGTCTGAGGCTAGGCAGCCCTAGGTCCCCTGTGTCTCAGGAAAACTGACCAAATGAGCCAGGGGCGTTCTGGGAGCTGTCAGCATGGCCGTGCACATCTAGTTTTCCTCCAGGCTGTTCTGGGACACCAGCAGCCAGGCCAAGGCAGGGACAGTGGAGACGCTAGGCTGCAGGGGGCTGCAAAGGGCCAGCAAGGGCCACTCCAGGGCTGAGATGCAAAGATCCAGAGTCTGTGAAGTGTGGAAACTTGCACTGACTGGAAAGTTTGCCTTTGCACCAAATAATCAAGAGCTGATTTTTCTCATGCGAAATGCTCTGTCATCTCCTGCCTAGCCTCAGCTAGACGTGGGCAAGCCTCGGGGCTCAGGACCCTTGTTCCTCCTGCCCAGGCTCCAGCCCAGTGCTGTTGTCACAGTGGATCCCGAAGAACAGTCCTCCACCCGGAGAGTTTATGAAAACCACCCAGAAGGCCAAGAGAAGGTCCACTTGGACATTGCAGCATTGACGGCATCCTGTGTGGTGAGAAGAGAACTAGGCTGGAGATAGCCAGTGTGGGATAAGAACAGAAGCCCTCGGCCTGGCCTTCCAGACCCTCCATGCTCAGACCCTGCTGACTCTGCCAGCCATCATATTTGTCATTTCTAGAATAAGCAGGATGTTTCCTGGACCCGGAAACCCCCTTATCCTTCCCCATATCCTCATTTTTTGAGGATTAACTCAGATAGCACTTCCTCCAGGAAGCCCCCTGTGATTCTTTTGTGCTTTTTTTTAGCATCTATCACAACACCCACTGATCAGCTTTGAGACTGTGTAATAGTGTACCTGCTCTCCTATCAGACTGTGAGCTCCTTGATGGCAGGGGTCATGTAAATTCATCTTTGTACCCTCATCTGACACAAAGATGGCACTCAGTAGATGTGTAGATAGAGAAGGAGGAAGAATGGAAGGAAGAGAGGAAAGGAGAGAGATGGACCTTAGCTCTGCTGGTGGAATAATCTCTACAAAGCCAAAGCTATCCCCTACAGGTGGTGAGTCTCCCGTCAGAAGAGGTGTGATCAGGGCAGGAGGCCTGCTGGCTGGAGATGTGGTATGAGAGCTGAAGTCTTGGCAAGGGACTGGTATAGATGACATTGAGGGTCCCTCCTGGCTCTGTAATGCTCAGGTTCTTTGAACATTGTTACTTTTCCAAAAATTAATCTAAGCAGCCAAAAATATCGCCTCGGCTGGCCGTCTACACCAGTAGGGTTCAGGAATCAGTCCAGCCTCACACCCCCGCTCTTCAGCAGCCCGGCCAGGCCTGACGTGAATTGGCAAGCTTGCCTGCTACCCTAAGGCAGGAGGAGCTGTGGGTGGTGGGGGAGGGCTGGACTGGAACCCAGGGCCCCTGGCCACAGCCCACAGCTCTTTCCCTCCCTGCCCCTGAGCATGGGGGGGAGGGAAGAGACGGGCCATGAGGACTGACTGACCCCCTACGTGGCCCTTTCCTGGGAGTATCAGCACACCCCCGATCTACCCATCCTTTCTCCAAGCGTTGGCTCTTCCTCTCCAGAGGTGCTCTGGATACTCCTTCACCTTGCTGGGTGACCTTGGGCAAGTCTCTGCTCCTTTCTGAGCCTCCATTTCCTCATCTGTTACATGGAGACCTTGTTTCCTACCTGTGCTGTTCTAGCAGGCGGGAGTGCTGTGTGCAATCTCAGGGCCCCAGGAAGGTGAGGTGCCACCGCCCTTGTGGCTCAACAATCAGCTCTCCTCCCAGGCCCCACCGGGCGCCTTGGGATTGGGAGTGTGCCGCAGGCAGGAAAGGTGGCACAGTAGCGTGCCTCCAGGGTTGCTCCGTTGCCAGACCCACTACAGGGAAAGTGGGCTTTGGATGGGACCAGTGTCTCAGACGTTTCCGGTGAGGCTCCGGGTCATCTTGGGCCCCAGTGGCTGGGGTGGCAGAGCCTGACTCCTGGCCAAGGGGGGGTTCCAGCCCAGAAGAGAGGCAGCCGGAGCACCTGCCCCCTTTCTGGGCCTCAAAGAGATTGCAGAAGGTCCCCGGCTGACTCTCAGTGTGTGACGCAAGCTTCAGATCATAATGTATTTGAAAGATATTGGTGATGTTGTTCTCTTAACCACCTCTTCCCTCACCTCTGTGAATTGTCATGAAGAGTCCTTTAAGAATATAGAAGACAAAGAAAGATGCTATTAATGTTATTTTGCCAAAAATATTTTTGTAGCATAATATATTAATAAAAGACATTATGAATTCAGCGGGATGGTGTCTGTGTGTG